GAAATGTTTATAAGATCAATAATCTGGTTTATTTTTTTAATTTAATTTTTACTAAATGGTGGAATCTGTAGAGATAAGTGACAGTTAATTGAATGTGAAAAGTTCATTCTGAGAATTGAAATAAATAAAAAAAAGTACTTTATTTGACAAAACAGGACTCGCATTGTTTTTGACTAAGTTCACGCAACCCACCCACACACCCACATACCTACCCACCACACTCACTCAACCCAGCCACATACATACCCAACACACACACCCACCCACATACCTACCCACCATACAAATGCACCCATCTCACATACAACCCACACACCTACCCACCATGCAAATTCACTCACCTCACATACAACCCGCACAACTACCCACCACACCCCACCAACCCACACACCTACCCACCATGCAAATTCACTCACCTCACATGCAACCCGCACAACTACCCACCACACCCCACCAACCCACACACCTACCCACCACACCCCACCAACCCAAACACCTACCCACCATGCAAATTCACTCACCTCACATGCAACCCGCACAACTACCCACCACACCCCACCAACCCACACACCTACCCACCATGCAAATTCACTCACCTCACATGCAACCCGCACAACTACCCACCACACAACATTCTCTGGGTTTATCTACTGTTCCTATTTTAGGTATAACCCCCCCTCCCCCCACAATGATTGTTATCATGTATTGTATGGTACGTGGCGTGACTCACGAGTGACGTCACAAACTGGAATTTGACGCGATTTGCTAAAGATTCCGGCCTGGTGGGTTGGTACGTGAGGGTTGACAAATTGAGGTATGTTGGACCAACCTCAGATTGTTATCTTAGCTATCAGGTATAAGACGGAGGCCATTTGACACGGCAGTGATACCAAGAGGCCTGTCAGTGTTTAACTCTGACCGTTATATATAACCTAATTATTCACCACCTAATCTTGACACCAATCTTGACACCAATCTTGACACCGCTCTAGACACCAATCATCAAAACGTTAACCCTAAGTAGGTCATCACTTTTGGTGCGTCTGTTTCACATTTCTGCCCTTTCAGAGTAATTAAATAAGGGGTTTTCGGATATTCCCTTTAGCATGTGTTATTTGTGGAAGAAAATTGTTTGGGAATCCCCAGTGATCTCTTCAGCTAGACTAGTCCAGTCACTTCCGAGGTGTTCGGAATTTATTTATTTTAATAATAAAAGAACAATTATTGATTGTTTAAAAAAATTGTGAACATTTTCAGAAATAATTACTAGGTGAAGAACGCTTGATATATTTTCAACATTCTTAGAATTATCTGGTTAATTTATTGATACCAACTGGAGTTAATAAATTAAGTTATTTCATTATTAATTGATTTTTTCTCCTCACGAGAACCACATATAAGCAAATAGTACTGTTAAACCTTTAAAAAATTATCACAGATTTAGATATTTAGTGGAGGGTGGAACAATGTTGTGAGTGAACTATTCACACAAAACTCCAGTTGTCTCAAAAAAGTTAATTACAAGATAATAAATTCCCATAATTTGAAATCGCACTTTGCTTGTGTGCAGCCAATCGCTAGACGCTTAACAGTCTAATATGCTCAATGGAATAATGATTTCAGTATAGATACATATATCGAGTATTATTACTCTTTCTGTTTACACTTGTATATCATTGAATTATAAATTTTTTGCTAAAATTATATTCAACTCGGGGTGAATTATTCACCGGTGAATTGTGAGTATTTCCTCGACTGTTAGAAACATTTCTTACATCGCTACGAGGATTTGGATTTGTAGATTGATATGTGAAAAAAAAATGAAAATAATGTGATTTTTTTGCAGATTTTTTATCACTTTCGACCTTTTATGATTCGACGGTACGAAGGTGAGAATAGACCTATAGGCGCTTGCTCTCACACGGTTAGATTTTTTATCATGGCTGGGCTGTGAGTTAACAGCGGTGGGGGAGGGGGGGGGGGCACGAATGTCTTGATGCCCCAAGTGTTATACGCGACCCACCCAGGATTGTGCGAGCGTCTTCAAAAGCTGATGCACATTTTCACGTCGTTCTCACTTAAACGATGAACGTGACGTACAATAAACTCATCATTTTCAAAGTAGTTTAGGGATAGAGAACACACGCACGTACAGACACACACACAAATATACACAAACACGTACACACACACTAACACACACATTCACACATATATTTTATATTATATATATGTGTATATTATATATGTGCATGTATGTATACACATCAATATAAATATAAATATGTATATACATATATTTATACATATATATATATATATATATATATATATATATATATATATATATATAATATAAACAGATATATATTATATCTTTATATATGCAATTAAATATATATATATATATATATATATATATATATATATATATATATATTATATATAAGGATGAGAGTAAAGTTACCTTTCTAATGATATGCTGGTCAGTGTGAGTACTGAGCAGACCATACTTTGACACTGCACGTAGTTGACCATTTTGCATAAGACCTCACCAAAAGTCCAGTGGAAGGCCAGGAAGGCTGCACACTGTGGTAGAGGAATATATCATTTTGTATCATGTGATAAAAATATATCATTTGTATCATGTGATAAGAAATATATCATTTTGTATCATGTGATAAGAAATATATCATTTGTATCATGTGATAAGAAATATATCATTTGTATAATGTGATAAGAAATATATCGTTTTATCATGTGATAAAAAATATATCATTTTGTATCATTGATAGATACATCTATCATTCATTTTTTGTATCATGTGATAACTAGTTTATTTTTGTGCTCTGTAATAAAATTTATATATATATATATATATATATATATATATATATATATATATATATATATATATATATATATATATATATATATATATATATATATATATATATATAGTAGGTTCCCCCACCCCAAACACCTGTCTGCCTACGCCACTGCTCTATACACTTATTCGGCACACATATAAAAAACTGACGAGACGAATAACAAGCTCACGCTCATCAAAATAAAACCCTTGCATGAGGTTACAGGGTAGAGACCAATTCTTATTTAGATACGTTTTTTTTATCGGGAATTTCCGATCATTGGCATTCAAATAGGTGTGAAAGAGGAAAAGGATGACGAACTGTTGTGATGATTGATGTAGGGGGGAGGGGTGGTGGTGGAGTAGTAGGGTGCACTTTTAACTATTGGAGTACTCATCAATCTTGACCGTGGTTGCGGGAACGAGGCTGTGAGATGTGATGACGTCATTCAGCAGACGACCTTTCGCACTGAGATTGCAGCAGTAATGAACGAGAAACCAACAGATACAAACTCTGTATTCCTGTCTACTTTCTAACTTAAAGAAGAATAGTTTGTCTACCTTTTTTGTTGTTGTTGTTGTCGAATTGCATTTTATTTTTTGCCCAATACATTTCACGGAAGCAATTTCTACAAGTTGTTACGTAGACAGAATTAAATTTTCTCAGGTCTCCATAATAGCAAGTTTGTAGTGGATGTATGTGTGTGTGGAGGGAGGAGGGGTTGACACAAGATTACATGCCACATATACAATATGCATATTCAACCAACCTATTTTTTTTATTTCATATGTGTATACAGACAGGAGTATAATTGGGAAAAGTTGAGACGAAATAGAAAAAAAAAATAGCAAATAAAGGGATGTTGAAGGGCGTATGATGCGCTGGGGTTTGAAAAGGTTAAGAAGAAGAAGAATATAAGCTCTAACTAACCAATCAACTGTCAACAATTTTTACGATTGGTTATAATTCTGACCATAATATCTTAAGTTCAGAGAAGCAGATGAACTCTATCTGTTCAAATGAACCTTTAAGTTTGAAGTTCACCTCAACGCTATATTTTTTTCAGCACTGCCAAAGCATACCGCAAGGCACTTGAACTAATTAACCCTTGCATTAGAAAAATAAAATAAAATTATAGCCATAATCCTAAATTTTTCAACTCATGCAAGAAGGACAGTTTTAAAAAAAAATTGACTCGTTATAATTTTACTTCTTTTTTTTAAGTTTCAGCAAAAGAACCAGTGACGTCACGAAAACGAACAGGTAGCGCAACGTTGCTAGAATTAACGGGGAAAACCCGAGCTCTATTTTTAGAAAGCTCACCCCTTACGCCGGCCACCTGCGGTCGCGTGTTTTGGTAAACAGATTACCCGTTACCGCGGGATAGACGCGCCAGATGGCCGGCAAAAGAAAACATTTGTCTGCCGCGATTTGGTACAACGGAAAGTATCAGTCTCCGCAGACAAATGTCTGTCTTGGGCACAGACTTGAAGCTAATTAGTAATTAGCGAGTTTAAAAAAAATATTTTTTTTTAATTTTAGAAATAATTTTAAAAATCGTAATTGTTTTTATATTTCCTCGTAGTATATATTACAGCTTTATATATTTCTGTATTGAAATATTTGAACACACGTTACAAAGTAAATAAATTTTGTAAATGTACATCAAATTTAGTTTAGGCCTACATCATAAGTAAATTTTAATGTAGACTACTCCATTTTTAAATTAAATGTCTTGAAACAATATTTTTTGAGAATAATTTGATTCCAAATCTAATTTTGTTATTAGAAATAATTTTTCATTAACAACTAAAAAAGAAAAAAAGAAAACCTAAAGGAATTTAAATAAATTTAAGACTGTCTTTCGTCCTAAAAAAATCTGGTAATATATTTGAAAGTAAATTTATATTCTTAACTAGTTTTCCGTATATAAAATCGAAATTGATGTTTCTCAAAAAATTATTTTCAGTAAAGCGCAAAAACGATATTTTTTTTATTAAAAGCTAATTTTCTCTTAATATATTTGACACTAAATTTTCAATATTAAAAAAAAAAACTATCTGTAAAAAAATTGACACGAAATTTTCATCGGAAATATATTTTGCTAAATTAAATTACAGCTTTGATGAACAGATGGCCGAACATATTTCCGCTGGCCCAACCCTCACGAACTAGGCACAGACCTGTCTGGTCAATCTCCTACAGATTTTGACTGAATTGTGCCCATAGTTTCTTCCAAGCCGCCCCCCCCCCCCCGAAATTTTTTTACCGCTCCCCCCCCCCCCCCCCGAACGAAATGAAATTTATAAAATTTATATAGAAAATATATACTTTTAACAGTATTCGCCCCCCAACCCCCGAAGAAAGTCTACCGCCCCCCCCCCCCGAAAATTTCAAGTGCCCCCCCCCCCCCCCCGGAAAAAAAAGTCTGGAAGAAACACTGATTGTACCGAGTCGCGAGTTCGAACCCCCGAGCAGATGAGGTTCTATAGTACTACAACTCATCTAGGAGAGAGAACTCCAAAATCAAACAACTGCTGCCTTGTAATTTGTTCTTGGTTGAACAAAGGCTATGGAAGCAAATACAAAATAAAAAAACAGGCTGAAAATGGTCTATATTGCGCTTAACAAATTGACACGTATACTTAATTATGTTGGAGGGAATCTCTTCCAGCACTAAAATTAAGAACGAAGAAGAAGAAAGAAAGCTAGTATCAACCGCCTGCAATTTATCTGAGTCGTTTTTTTTTATAGTTCAATCTTATCTAACTTTGCTGTTTTGGCATTGAGCGAGGTGGGGGTGGGGCGTGGGGTTGGGTGGTACACATGATAGTGGAAAATTAAGTCTGTGATGGTGTGAGATTGTGTGTGTGTGAGGTTGTGTGTGTGTGAGATTGTGTGTGTGTAAGGTTATATTTGTAAGAGTGCAGGTTCTGGGTCGACGTGACCTGACGAATTCTTTTCTAGAGTCCCTTGATGTCGTCAGGTAAAAGTAAGAACATTGTGGTGGGACGATGGATAAAGGGGGGGGGAGGTGTAGTTCGTGGTAGTCTTGTTGATGACCCTAAAGGTTGGCTTTTAGAGAAATTTAATCACAAAAAAAGTGTAATAGATGTGTAATTACACCATAGAAATGTAATCTCCCCATAGAATGGTAATCACACTGTAGAAATGTAATCACACCATAAAAATGTAATCACATTATTGAAATGTAATCACAATATATAAATGTAATCACACTATTGAAATGTAATCACACCATTTAAATGTAATCACATCATAGAAATGTAATCTCCCCATAGAATGGTAATCACACTGTAGAAATGTAATCACACTAGAGAGGATTGACGACAGCTTGAAGAACTCTGGAACCTTGACATGGAGATCCTGCAGCCCACCAGAATATCCCAGAGTATCCCATCCCAATATCCTAGACAGTTTATCCTGAGGGTCGGGATTGGGGTATTTTATGACAGGTCTTGTTGTCTCAAGCGTCCTTGAAAACTGTGAAGAGGGGGGGGGGGGGGGGGGGGGAATGAGGGAGAGGCTGATTGGGGTAGCATTGAAAAAAAAAGAAAAAAACTTTAAACTAATATTTAAACTGTTGCAAATAATTTAAAAATACATGCTACACATTTCCTTTTAAGATATTTAAATTCAGTGTTTTATATGAGCAAGATTAATTTACCTTTATTGTAAATTGCTATACAAATGAAGTATTGATATTTTCTCCATTAAAAAAAAGAATCAACTCAATTTTGTACTTGAAAAAGACATCTGAAGAGTCCAAACTGCTCACAGCCACCTAGCGGAGCAGGCAAATGGATTGGAAGAAGGGGGCACTGAAATCTGCTTTAGCGGTACAATGGTCTTGAAGTGGACCACTCCACCAGTTTGTTATGCGGATATGTGGTATTTGAAACAATCGTTTGATAGTGCTAATATGTTATGTTTTTGTTGAAAGTATGACATGACCATAACACACACTCTCAAACGCACGCACAAATAAAACCACATCAACACACACACACACACATCACACACACACAAATTTGAAAACATGGAAGATAAACGGCAATCAGGTACACCCCTTAATTATAGTAGCCACCGAGAGATCGTTGGCAATGTTTCTTCCAGACTTTTTTCTCCGGAGAGGGGGGGGGGGGCACTTGATATTTTCGGGGAGGGGGGTGGACGGACACTGGTAAAAGTATATACTTTCTATATAAATTTCCATTTCGTTGGGGGGGGGGGGGGTCGACTTTCTTCGAGGGGGGGGGGGGGGGGGCTACGCTCCCCGAAGAGATGCCTAAAACAAAACACTGACCGTGGATTGTAAATGAACCAAGTTTTCGATGGTAGTGCATCCAAACACTAACTTTAACCCTTAGCCTAGCCAGCCGTTCACCTCTTTTATTAAACTAAAATTTTATACTCTGTCTTGTGTCTAAGTCTACCTAGATAAAGTGCTTTATGAGCCTATTGCATGGCATATTGCGTGGCATCTTGTGTCTTTACCATCTAAATATACTAAAAAAATTAAATTTACAAAATATACGGAAGTATAAAACAATTCGAATTTGATACAGTATTAAGAGTACAGAGTCAAAGGGACAGCGTGGTTGAACAGTAGAACGAACGGCTGCTACCCCGAAAGTCTAAAGCAACCTCGGAGTCCACCCAGCTCTAATACTATTAATAGGTACTTGATTT